CTCCTGCCTCCGCCTCCCAAGTAGCTGGGACCACAGGCGCCCACCACAACGCCCGGCTATTTTTTGGTTGCAGCTGTCATTGTTGTTTGGCGGGTCCAGGCTGGGGATTCGAACCCGCCACCTTAGGTGTACGTGGCTGGCGCCTTAGCCAGTTGAGCCACAGGCGCCGAGCCCCTCATCCAGTCTTAAATCCAGACACCCTCCAGCCCCTCTTACTGTCCTGCCTGGTAGGACAGGAGTAGCTAGAAAAGCAAAGACAGGATTTATAAATCTGAGACCTGCATCACAAAGCAGAATCTCCCAGTTTGAAACTGAGATAGTAGCTTAATAATGGGCATGGGCTCTTTCACTTCTGAAATACTATGATTCCAGGCACACAGAAGAATCAGAAAGGACACAGAAAGTGCCCCAAAGAACTGTGAACAGCAGGAAGATGTGGGAGAATTTGGGAGGGAATGTATAGGTCCTCTTGCCTCAAGCTCTTGGGCTCAAGTGATCCTCTTGCCTCAGTCTCCCAAGTACCTGAAACTATGGGCCCCCGCCATAACAGCTGGCTATTTTTAGAGATGGAATCTTGCTCTTGCTCAGGCTGGTTTAGGTCAGGTGATCCAACTACCTTGGCCTTCCAGAGTGCTGGGATTAAGGTAAGAACCACCCTACCCAACAACAACAGTGTTTTAAATTGGGATTACCAGTTTGGCATTAGCTGGTATGTGTCTGTAGACATGTGCAGACCCTCCTTTCCTAGATTGTATTCTGGAGAAGCTGACACATTTATCTCAGGAGACATATACCAGAATGTTCATAGCAGTGTCATTCATAATAAAAAAGAAAACTCTCCAATATTAAAATGGATAGATTGTAATGTATTTATACAATGCCAGACTACAGAGCAGTGAAAATTAATGAACTATTTGCATCAACATGGATGAATCTCAAATATTGAACAAAAGAATCAATTCAGAGAAGAATATATGCAGTGAGTCAATCTATTTACACAAGTTAAATATATACATACAAAGGAAGAAAAATGAGAATGAAAGATAAGGGAATAGTTAATAAATTCAGGATAGTGGTTGTCACTGAGAGGGGCAGGCAGGGAGACAATTAAGGGGTTTTCCAAGGTGCCCAGGTATACACATTTTCTTTCTTTCTTTTCTTTCTTTTTTTTTTTTTTTTTGCATTTTTGGGCCAGGGCTGGGTTTGAACCCGCCACCTCTGGCATTTGGGGCCGGTGCCCTACTCCTTTGAGCCACAGGCGCTGCCCTATACACATTTTCTTAACCTGGGTAGTAAGTACCCACTTATCCTTCTTTAAAATGTATATTTTATACATACTTTTGTATGTATTATATATTCATAAGAAATTAAATACGGAATGATCCTCAGAGTCCTTCTCTGTCCCATGGGACGTGCTGCTAGAATGCTGTCTCATTCGCAGTCTCAATGCCAGCTTCTTTGGCCATAAAATAAAAGGGTCCAGGGTTTTTCAGCAGTTCTTCAGGGCTGCCATACTCCACAATCGTTCCATTGTCTAGGACCATTACCCTGAAATAAAGAAACAAAATCCTTAGAAAGTAAAATCTCAAACCTGGGCACTTATAGGAATACCAGGACTAAGTTGGGGTCTAGTCATACAAGGCTACAGAGCAGTGAAACTGAGGGAACCACAGCCACGTGCATGTGATTCCACCTGTAATACATGTTAAACAACAACAAAATCAATCAATGGAACACACGTGTGGTGAGTCCATTTATATAATTTTTTAAAGTACACATTGTTTAAGGATAGGTGGGTTTAAAATGGGAGCCTTCTCTTTGGTCAAAAAAAGGCCTATCCTCTTGAAACAGCTTTCTAAGCTCACTGGCCTTTGGATGTAACATGCCAGAGGTGGAAGCAACAGAAAGCTTCTAGTCACATTATAGGGGCAGCAGCTGAGGCCAGTATAGTTGGGAAGGTCGATAGTTAACAGCTGCCACTCATGGCGTGAGCCACCACCTCAGTTAATAGTTACAACACACAATTTTCTATTTGACCCTCAAGACGGTTGGTTCCCTTAACCCTGTTGGCTTTCAGTAGCTTGACATACAAATTTGGACAAATTACTTGAAATCTCTTAGTCTGGGCTTCTTCATCAGTAAAATGACAGTGGCTAAACCTGCTATGAAGCGTCTCACAGCTGACACCTCACTGCTGACCAAGGGCGTAGCCGTGTCTATCCAGCTCCACCTCCTCCACTCACTTGTCACTGTCCATGATCGTGTGCAGCCTGTGAGCAATGGTGATGACTGTGCAGTGGGAGAACTCATTCTGGATGGTCGTCTGAATGAGGTGATCTGTCTCTAGGTCCACTGCAGCCGTGGCCTCATCCAGCACCAGAATCTTGGATTTCCGCAGCAGAGCCCGGCCCAGACAGAGCAGCTGCCTCTGCCCTATACTGTGGTCGACAGAAGAAACATTACATTAGCTCCTAAGGACAGAGGGTAAACTGGAGGCACGGGGACAGTTTCCATGTTCCAGATCAGACTTTTAAAACTCCCACTCCAAAATTCCCCTAAAATGCTGCCACCTCTTCAACCAGGTGTTTACTGTTGTTGCCAGTAATGGTTTTCAAACTTTCCCCGCTGGAAGACCCACCCCAGATACTTAATAAAAAGTTCATATTTCTGGGCCCCCCTCTACTCAGAATGAGGAGGAGCATTTTAAATAAACACCATAGACAATTTCCATGCTTAAAAGTTTAGGAGACCCTCACATTTGGCTACAGTGTCATCTACAATTTCAAAACAACCAAGTTCACTTCAGCAGTATCTGACCTGACACCATTAATACTGGGTGACACTGCACTAGAACACCCCAGTGGAATTTCTTTGTGGTCTTAGAGGATCCATTTATTATTTTAATGTGTAATTCTAGTCTCAAGGCTAATTATTTGTTCAAGGCCTTCTGCTTTGATTAGAGAGAAAGCTATCTAATGAACATGATGTCTTGGTGTGAGATGCAATGTATGTGGAATTCGAATATGCTTGTAAAATGCAAATAGCTTTAATTTGCTGAAAGCCTGTAATGAAGGCTGGACCTCTTGCTTACATAAAGAAGCTTTGGGAAATGATGTGAGGGAAATATTCAGGAATTTGCTAATTGCTCTTTCCTGCTGTGGCCATTAGGGAACATATTAAACAGGGGGTGGCCAGCCCAAAGTTCTGTAATTCTCCATAAGAAAATTTCTGTAGGAGATGAGAAGTCACCCAAGATGAACTTCCAGTTTTTCTCTGTAATGTAAGACCAGAGACACTGCAAAACTATTTATTTAGCTTGTACCTAACTCCTGCCTGGCTCAGGTGGACTGTATAGTTACAGGCTGTAGCGGAGGTACCACTGAGACTTTCTGCTACTCTCTCCAGCTCATTTAGCCATCATTCACCAGAGAAATTTTAGTTTTATCTCCCAACTTAGGTCTGAAATCAAGGCATCAGTAATACCATTAAGTGTCACCAACATGGACAAGAGAAGGCTGATTTTTTTTTTTTTTGAGACAGAGTCTCAAGCTGTCTGTCACCCTGGGTAGAGGGCTATGACGTCACAGCTCACAGCAACCTCGAACTCTTGGACTTAAGAGACTCTCTTGCCTCAGCGTCTCAAGTAGCTGGGACTACAGGAGCCCACCACAACACCTGGCTATTTTTTTGCAGTTGTTGTTGCAATATTTTAACTGGCCCAGGCCAGGTTTGAATCCACCAGCCTCAGTGTATGTGGCTGGCACCCTACCCACTGAGCTACGGGCACCGCCATGATACATTATCATAGTGTCTCATCCATCCCATTCAGCTCGGACTGTCCTGGCAATTACTTGCACAGGTCTGCCATCAGGCTGTAAGACCTAGGAAGTCAGGGCTGTGTCTGTGTTGTTTGCCTCTGTATCAGTGCCCCGCACATAGTAGGTGCTACTATGTGTTTACTGACTTACTGTGTGAATGGTCTCCTACGTCAGCCTAAAAGACCCTGCTACTGCCTACATTTGTGGTACAGGCAAAGCAAAATTGGAGGTTTTCTCACTAAGGCTTGCAAATGTCCCTGCATACCTGATTTGATTGTTCTGGGCTATATCACTGGAAGGCTTCCTGGGTGATTTTTGCTTGCAGCCTAGTTAGGAACCACCGTGCTCTAGGCAGCACTTCTCAAGTGTCATGTGCACAAAAGTCACCTGGGAGTCTTGCTAAAATACAGATTCTAACAGGTCTAGGGCCTGAGATTTCAGCACTTATGCAAAGTTCACAAGTGAAGCCAGAGCTGCTATTCCACTAATTAGGTACTTCCTTCCTGAGCTTCCATTTGCTAATGGTCCATATCCAGCCCACCATTACTGAGGCACCTGGGGCAGAAGCAAGGACTGTCTATGTGTGGCAAGCTTTGGCTAAACAAAAACAAAAACAAAGAGCAGTGCTTATGGCTCAAGGAGTAGGGCCCCAGCCCCATATGCCGGAGGTGGCGGGTTCAAACTTAGCCCCGGCCAAAAAAAACTGCAAATTAAAACAAAACAAAACAAAAACAAAAAAACTAGCCAGGTGTTGGGATGGGCACTTATAGCCCTGCTATGAGGGAAGTTGAGACAGGAAGATCCCCTGAGCACAGGAGTTTGAGCTTGATGTGAACTAGGCTGATGCTATGTCACTCAACCCCAGGGTGACAAAGTAAGACTCTGTCTCAAAAACAAACAAGCCTGGCACCTATGCTCAGTGGCTATGGCACCGGCCACATACACCAGGGCTGGTGGGTTTGAACTCAATCTGGGCCTGCCAAAAAACAATGACAACTACAACAAAAAAATAGCCAGGCATTGTGGCAGGTGCCTGTAGTCCCAGCTACTGGGAAGGCTGAAGCAAGAGAATCACTTAAGACCAAGAGTTTGAGTTTACTGTGAGCTATGAAGCCACAGCATTCTACCAAGGGTGACATAGTAAGACTCTGTCACAAATAAATAAACAAAATAGTCCAGGCATGGGGGCTCATACAAATAAAATAAAATAGTGGGATCTGTAAGCTCACATTGTGTAATGTCTCATGAGGGTTACATTTAATGTACGGTGACCAGACGTCCCACTTTTGGCGGGACAGTCCCGATTTTTAACAATTTGTCCTGCATCCTATGGCATTTTTAAAAAGTCCGATTTTTGAAAAGAATGCACAACAAGCTAGGGAACCCAGGAGAACAGGAAGGGAATATACGGTTTTTGGCTGCCATGTGGCTATTTCACCAGGATACGAGTTTTATATTATTTTTGTTAATTTTATAATGTCAAACTTTAATAATAACAAATAATTGTTGAGAACTGATTATCGAGAACTGCTTATCAAGGTTTGCATTGTTGTCAGGCCCTGCCCTCCCCCCCTCAAGGGTGTCCCGCTTTACCAATGTTAAAATCTGGTCACCTTAATTTAATGACATCTCCTTTTTTTTTTTTAAGAGACAGAGTCTCACTTTATTGCCCTTGGCTGGTAGAGTGCCATGGCATCACACAGCTCACAGTAATCTCCACCTCCTGGGCTTAGGCAATTCTCCTGCCTCAGCCTCCCAAATAGCTGAGACTACAGGCACCTGCCACAACACCCAGCTAGTTTTTGGTGCAGTTTGGCTGGGCCTGGGTTTGAACCCACCACCCTCGGTATATGGGGCCAGTGCCCAACCCACTGAGCCACAGGTGCCACCCCAATGACTTTTTTTTATTTTCAGACAGAGACTCATTTTGTCACCCTTGGTAGAGTGCTGTGGTGTCATAGCTCACAACAACCTCAAACTCCTAGGCTGAAGTGATTCTCTTGCCTCAACCTCCTGAGTAGCGGGGACTACAGGTGCCTGCCACAATGCCCAGCTATTTTTAGAGATGAGGTCTCACTCTGGTTCAGGTGGTCTTGAGCCCGAGAGCTCAGGCAATTCACCCACCTTGGCCTCCCAGAGTGCTATGATTACAGGCATAAGCCACCGTGCCCAGCCTTTTAATGACATCTTCTATCATGAGAACTTCATAACAGGTTTGTTTTACACACTAGAATTAGACATGGATAGTGAGGATTCCATGATGCCAGGCATCACTTAACATAAGGAACACGAGTAGTGGTCCCCTCACATCTTCTCACTGCCTATGGGGGAAGTAGGTTATGAAACATTACCTCAGATTGCCACCGGCCTCTGACACTTCATGGGACAACCCATGTTGTAAGCCAGCCACAAAAGATTTGAGGTGAGCCAGCTCCAGGGCCTTCCAAATCTCCTCATCCGAGTATTTGTTGAAAGGGTCTAGATTCATCCTTAGACTTCCGGAGAACAGGATGGGGTCCTGCCAGACAAGAGTTGAGGGGACTGTTAGGGTTAATGTCAGAAAAGGATCTGTTAGTTCCTTGCAGCCAGAAGAGAGTGGAAAGGGCTGGCCTGAGATAGGCTCCTCAGGCAGGAAGCTGGTTGGCCGTTGAGCTTCTGCAAGGTTTTCCCTCTGAAGTCTTGGAGTGGCTGCCAGCCAGCTAAGCTTAAGAGTAAGAGAAGTTCTCAGTTTGCTTTTTTTTTTTTTTTAAACCCTAGATTCATTTATGAGTCTCAGGATTATGGATTTCCAAATTGTCACAACATCTCACAAGAAAGTGAGAGGAATGTTCCACCCCTTCAGATGAAAATTCATGATGTAGAGGTGGGGGATCAGAGGAGAGGAGAGGAAGGCATAACGAGCTGCAAGAAAAGAATTTATTTTATTATGCTTTTGAAGAGGCTGGAGAAAAGAGTTTATCAAACTGAACAAACATCAGACAAACCAAAACTACCCCCAGAAGAACATGGTTGCAGTGAGCAGAGGAGAAATGGTTCCAGTGAGGAGCCACAAGCCGCCTGGGAGCAGAGAGGAGCCTGTGGTGATCCTTATTTGGTAGGGTCCAGAGAGGAAGCCAAAGTGAAGTCTGTCATGCTGCTGCACTAAGCGTTCTGCTCACTGGCAGAAACCTGCACGCAAATTCCCTCCTCATCTTTTAACCATATCAAATGGGGAGTATAAAGCTTAATGGCTTCAAGCTTCAGCAGCAAAACTGCTAATGCTGATTGCAAAAGTCTTGCAAACCACGATGGGCTATAGAAATGCTAAATAATCATCTGCTCTATTTGACTTCTGTTGTGTTGCTGCCACCTACTGGTCAGATGCTGGCAGTCACAAATGCATATCTCACACACACAAAACCCCTCAAAAACCTCTCAAAACTTAAGTTCTGGAAAAAAGGTGTCCTGAGTAGACTATAGAAATGACAGTGCTAACTGAACAGATATCAAGAAGAAGAGGGTTTCCTGCAGAACAAACTGGCCCCCACTGCATGTTCCCAACTAAGTTCTAGAGTTCACCTGAGGGATGATGGTCAGTTTCTCTCGAAGGTCATGAAGTCCAATGGAAGCGATATCTACTCCATCGATGATGATCTGGCCACCTGCAGCCTCTAAGATTCTGAAGAGGCAGTTTGTGAGGGATGACTTTCCAGCTCCTGTCCTGCCCACCACACCAACCTGTGAAAATGGATGGCACATTAGTTCAACATACAATGCTTGGGGAAAAAATTATTTAGCATGGGCATTTACAGTCACAGGTGGTAAGAAGCAGTTATTGGCTACTTCATCTCCTAATAGATTAAACTGATTTTGGTTTGGGTGGGGGAAAAGAGTGCCCACATGTCAGAAAAAGATGGCTTTCCCATGCTGCTGCCTCCTAAACTGTTGCTTGCTGAGAACTACATGGATATTTTCAGCAGCTGTTGTTATAAATATCATTGGGAGTTACAGATTCTTTTTAAAATCCTTGTTGAGAAATGAGGCGAAGGGAGCCAGACCCTAAACTGGACCCCAACATCCTTGCCCTGATTTTTAATCTATATCAGACCCCAAGTCCTCAGAGAATAACAGCACCAATGGGAGGGGCCTGACTTTGCGACCAGGAGAACTAGACCATTCTTTCTTTAGGGACAACTGTTATTCTCAACAGTTCCTTCCCCAGGCCTTGTGCCCCCTTGTTTCCTTCCTAACTTCCTCTCTGTGTGCTGTAGACTTTACAGGAAATGAGCCCTGGTCAGCTGTCTCCCAGGCAAGGGAGGAGGAGCAGGAAGCTCTCACAGAGTAGTCAGTCTGAGTTGTGCTGGCGGGCATCCTGCCCTCTGGTGGTCATGCTATGTCCCTACACCTCCCCACCACTCCAGTGATGTCTCTCCACTGTGTCTAACTCTTCTCTGATCAAAAGGCCTCAGGCCTGCCTTCATTCCACCTACCTTCTCTGTGCTCTTGATGTCACAAGTGATCCCTTTCAGTACCAAATCCAGCTCGGGCCGGTACCGCACTTGGTAGTTTTTAAACTGGATCTGGCCTTGGCTGGGCCAATCTGGCGGAGGCCTCTTGTCAGTCACCCAGGGTGCCTGGTAAGGACACAGGATGAGAACTGATTTATATAGGGATGACCGAACAGTCTTCATAGGACTCATGTCACAGAACAGAAGGGTAGCAGTGTTCTAACTACCTAATGGCATCTGCATCTAATAGACTGAACTGGACTTGTACTTCTGGAAGCTTCCTACCTTATTTAATTAAAGGTATCCTATCCCATGGGGTTGCTCTGTAGAGCTCCAGAATGAAGCCACCATTTAACTTGGTGTGTTCGAAGACCTGATTTCCTACAAACCATTTCCCATTCTAAGTTTGAAGAAGTTAGGTCCTTTGAGTTAGAGCAAAGAAAAAACATTAGGAGAACGATTATGAACCCATGTGGAATATTGAAAAATTATGCAGATGAACTCAAGGAGTTCCTTTTCTTTTTTTCTTGTCCTCAGGCTTCTCTAATTCCTCCTTACCTCGTTTTCCACTTTGATGTACTCATTTATTCGCTCGACAGCCACAATGTTGGTTTCTACTTCTGATGTCATCCTTACCAACCAGTTCAGGGTTTGCGTGATCTACAAAAAACCAGAAGACTGAGAATCATCTCAGGCCTAGAAACCAACTCAATTAGTCAAACCACAAGGTCAATCCCATGTCTACTTTGTATCTGGCACTATGCTGGCCTCTAGGAGAGAGTAAGGAAAAGTAGAAGAAAGACAATCCTTGCCTTATTTGGGGAAGGAAATTAGACTATTCCGCTGAATGGCTGGAAAACAGTTGGGTGCTCAGCAGTGTGTGCTCACAAGAAGGACAATATGAGCCTGGAATGGTTTGGGGCTAAACTGGGGGTTGGAGAGGCTAGTGATTGGTGGAGTGGGACGAAAACTCTGGTCTCCTGCCTGAAAGTGTAGAGCCTTTGGGCAGGGGGTTATAAAATGGCATTCTGCAAATAGGGAAAGGCGTGAGAAAAGACACAGGACAGGAAAAGACCTTCCAAAAAGCTGTCTCTTCTCTGTTCTTACTCAATACCAGCCCTCAAGGTGGGGGCATCCACATGAACTCTGTCCTCCTTTAGACCAACTCCCGGTGACTCCCTGACATTACAAAGATACATCTAACCACCAGGATTGTCATGGTCTGGGCCCCTCTAGGGGCTGGAGAATCTCTCAGATGCAAGCTTTTTTCAAGCAACGACTTAAGACTTAAAGAGTTCCCACATATGCATAGGGAGTTTTTATTGAGCAAATGAAAGACTAACCACAGACTACAGAGGACAGGATCATGGGCACTAAGAATAACCACTGTGTACAGGTTGAGACCGATGTAATTGCTGATATTTGAATGGTTTTGTTTCAGAATAATAGTTTTATGATTCTTTTGCTTGTCTGTCCTAGAATAAAAAGCTTAGAAATAGAGGGGAGTAAGTGACAATAGCACAAGGAACCATGTGACTCTGGTGAATAATAGTCCTTTTAGGTGCCCTGGCAGGATGACATTGGGCCTTCTTAAATTCTAATGAAGATAGCACTATACAAAGCCCACTTGTGGCTATGCAAACCTCTAAAAGTTAGCTCAAAAAGATACCATGAAAGATAGTCAAATGACTATTTTATTAAACAAATATTTATTGAATTGTCACTATAGTGCCAACCACTATTTTATGTGCTAGGAAATAATGATGCTCAGCCTTGATCCCCTAGCCATCCTACAGTGCTGCAGTGAGATACAGCCCATAGTTTTATCAGACTGTAAGTTCTATATTAGAATTTACTTTAATTATTCTGTAACCTAAGAAAAACAAACACAGGAGGAACTATTTGGAACTATTTGCGGTGGATCATGCCTATAATCCTAGCACTCTGGGAGACCAACCCTGGTGGATTTCCTGAACTCAGGAGTTTGAAAAAAGCCTGAGAAAGAGTAAGAACCTGTCTACTACAAATAGAAAAATTAGCTGGGCATTGTGGCAGATGCCTATAATCCCATCTACTTGGGAGGTGGAGGCAGGAGGATCACCTGAGCCCAAGAGCTTAAGGTTTCAGTGAGCTATGATGCCAGGGCACTCTACCCAGGGCAGAGTGAGACTCTGTCTCAAATAAAACAAAATAAAATAATACAAAAGACTTTCTGATTACTACTCTATTCTGGAGAAGAAACTTATTTATTCTCTCTCTCTTTTTAATTTTTGAGAAAGAGTCTCACTCTGTCATCCTGGGTAGAATGCTGTGGCAACGTAGCTCAAAGCAACCTCAAACTCTTGGGATCAAGTGATCCTCTTGCCTCAGCCTCCCAAGTAGCTGGGACTACAGGAACCTGCCACAATGCCCAGCTAATTTTTCTATTTGCAGTAGAGATGGGGTCTTGCTCTTGCTCAGGCTGGTCTCCAACTCCTGACTACCTTCCTTGGCTTCCCAGAGTGCTAGGATTACAGGTGTGAGCCACAGTGCCCAGCTATTCTCTCTTTTGACTAGAACCAAGCAAAAAGGGAACGATTAGATTGAAACATAAGAAATTGGCTTGGGGGCGATGCCTGTGGCTCAGTGGGTAGGGCACCAGCCCCATATATCAAGGGTGGCGGTTTCAAATCCGGCTTGGCACATACAGGGTGCTAGGGTGCCAGCCACATACACTGGTTCAAATCCAGCCTGGGCCTGCAAAAGAACAATGACAACTACAACAAAAAAGTAGCTGGGCATTGTGGCAGGCACATGTAGTCCCAGCTACTTGGGAGGCTGAGGCAAGAGTTTGAGGTTTCTGTGAGCTGTGATGCCACAGTACTCTACCAAGGGTGACAAAGTGAGACTCTGTCTCAAAATAAATAAATAAATAAAAATAAAATAAAAATAAATAAATAAATAAAACATAAGAAATTGCCTTCTTAAGCTCCCAGGTCGACATTTATGTCCATTCTTCTTTATTTTTATTTTTATTTTTATTTTTTTGAGATAGAGCCTCAAGCTGTCCTCCTGGGTAGAGTGCCGTGGCATTACAGCTCACAGCAATCTCCAACTCCTGGGCTCAAGCGAGTCTCCTGCCTCTGCCTCCCAAGTAGCTGGGACCACAGGCACCCGCCACAATGCCTGGCTATTTTTTTTGGTTGCAGCCACCATTGTTGTTTGGCGGGTCCAGGCTGGATTCGAACCCACCACCTTAGGTGTACGTGGCTGGCGCCTTAGCCAGTTGAGCTATAGGCGCCGAGCCTATGTCTATTCTTCTTGATAGCATTGGTGACTACACAGAGTAAGAAAGTGTGTCAATGGGTAAAAGATGGAGGTTTAAACCTCAGTCTCCCCTAGTCTTCAGGATATAAAAGGGAATCAAGAGCACAGACTACACGGTATACTCCAGACTTAATTTAAGAATAAATATATTGGGGTCGGGCACAGCAGTTCACACCTGTAATCCCAGTACTCTGGGAGGCTGAGGCAGATGGATTGCCTGAGCTCACAGGTTCAAGACCAACCTGAGCCACAGTGAGACTCTAAAAATAGCTGGATGTTGTAGCAGGTGCCTGTAGTCCCACCTAGTTGGAAGGCTGAGGAAAGAGAATTGCTTGAGCTCAAGAGTTTGAGGTTGTTGTGAGCTCTGATGCCATGGTGCTCTACCAAGGGTGACAAAGTGAGACTGTCTCAACAACCAAAAAAATTGAAAAAAGAATAAATACATCAACATAGTGAAACTCCCAACCTTCAGACTCACATTGAGTGCATTGGATAGAACAAAGCCCACGATGTCCCCACTTAGGGTATGTCTATAAATAACAATCATCAAGGCTGAACAGAAGACAATCAGGTTCCCAACCAGCTCTAGGCGAACTGCAAGCCACCTGTAGGGGCAACAGAAGCAGAGAGAGAGAATGGTATCACTGATCATTTCTTCACCTTACCCAGCAACCTTAGCACTCATAGAACATCTCAGTGGGGTGGAGTTAATCAACTGTACTCTTAGGAAGAACCTTAATTTAAAAGTCTGTTAAATTGGTTTTCATTAAAAAATAAATGGTTATTTTAAAGATACTAAAGGAATTTGCTATACAAAGGGAATTTTATGGTGCAATGTCTCCCAAACTTGGCAACTCATAAAAATCACTTAGGACAATTGTTAAAAATACTATGTTACAAATTCATGTGAAACATTCCTGGATCCATCCCCAGGAGATTCAGATTCAGGGAGTGTAGGATAAGGTTCAAGAATCTCTCTCTCTCTCTCTTTTTTAAAGAGACAAGGTCTCTGTCACTCAGGCTGCAATGTGGAATGCAGTGGTGCCATCATAGCTCACTGCAACCTCAGACTCTGGGCTGAAGAGATTCTCTTGCCTCAGCCCCCAGAGTAGCTGGGATTACAGGCGCCTGCCACAATGCCCGGCTATTTTTAGAGACAGGGTCTTGATCTAGCTTAGGCTGGTCTCGAACTAGTGAGCCTAGGCAATCTGCCTGCCTTGGCCTCCCAGAGTATTGGGATTACAGGTGTGAGCAACTATACCTGGCCAGAATCTGCATTTTTTTTTTTTTTTTTTTTTGGAAAGAGTCTCATTATGTTGCCCTCTGTAGGGTGCCATAGGGTAATAGCTCACAGCAACCTCAAACTCTTGGGCTTAAGTGATTTTCTTGCCTCATCCTCCCAGTAGCTGGGACTATAGGTGCCTGCCACAATACCCAGCTATTTTTTTTGTTGTCATTGTTGTTTTTAGTAGGGCTGGGCTGGGTTTGAACCCACCAGAACCAGTGTATGTGGCCGGTGCCCTAACCACTGAGCATAGGCACTAAGCCAAAGAATCTGCATTTTTTTTTTTTT